AAATCTTATTTTTCGTCAGCGTTGTCTTCTTTCAATTGATTTTTCAGACATTTCTTCTCGCTTTCCATTATTTTTTTTTTCCCTAGGAGTTTCCTTAGATTCCTTTCTGCGTCTGCTATCAACACTTTGTCCAACAGATTTGAATATGCGATCTGTCTTGCGTACATCAACAAGCAAACGGAATCTTGATTATGAAAAACTTTCTCAGCTGCACAAATCTCAGAACAGTAATATATGTATTAAATATGAAACCAATTTCTCATATATCTGTATCTAATCAGCAAATAAACGTACAAATAACGCACACACACATACATATGTGTGTGTGTGTGTGTGTATTTGATTGTTATTTATATTGTTGTTGGGAAACATGTGCAGTTATCGTGATGCAGCCGAATTTACACTGGGACAACAATGATGCAGCCTGTCACAGAAAGTGTTTGCCCATTCCTTGGTTTAGGGTATAATCCGATTGCAGCAATCCCAATTTTGATAAATCTTGACAACAGAAACTCCATAAGAAAATTAAAAAAAAAAAAAATTTCTAAAAACATTTTTTTACTTACTTCTTTCTCCCCAAGAAAGGCGATAATGCCACTGAGGCGCAAGAGGGTTAGTGAGAAAATATTAATGAGAAGAACAAGATTTAGGAAGACAGAATATGGCGATTGATATTACATTGAAACCTTTAAAGATCGGAGGTGACAGGAAAGCAAGAAACCGGAAGAGTTCCACAAGCGAGAAGTACGAGAAAGGAAACTATTAGAGTAGAGCTTACGGTCACATCTATTTCAACAGTAAAACAACGAAATCGAATTGCCAGTCTATTACTACGTTTAAATTGATGTGGTCGAGGTACTAATGTGGAAAGCTCATTAGAATAATTGCTATGAAAATATTTATAGAAAAGGTACAAGAAAGTCACGTCACGTGGATGGAGAAGTGATTGGAGTCGAGATGCCAGGTCAAGTCCAATAATATTACAGTCTTTCCTTGGATTTTATGAAGAATCTTGAGAGATATAGAATACACCAGATCAGATGTGGCAGCAATATTCAATACATCGACAAATGGTAGATTTATAAACATCTAAGAACGGCATAGTGAACCAACTTTTCTAGTAGTAGATTTAGCAATTGATTCAAGATAATCACTCACTTCTTGGTCTCGCGTTTACCAATGAGTTGCCCTCCTGGAGGTTAATATCAGCCATACTGATGGAAGGTAGAAAAGGTTCTCTATGGGGATTAAATGGCAGCAGTTTTGTTTTGGGGGTGTTAAAATTTAAAAGTCATTTCTTACCCCAGTTAACAACAGATTGAAGACCATTTTCAAGATCAGCTGCCAGATTCAAGTAAATGCATTAACTGAAAGCAAAAACCAAAAAACTTAAAATATATTCCATCATAGGAAAAAAGATATTCCAAAGCTAATTTATGGGCGATTTGCCAAATCAGGAAATCTGTCAACTCGAAGCCTAAGTATGTAAAAAAAAAAAAAAAAAAAAAAAAAAAAACAGAAAAGGTCTTTTGTATCAAATAAAAGTGCCGCCTGGACCAATCAGGTTAGTGCGAATTTTTCAACTTGTAAAATAATTGTGCCAGGCTAAATAAATATACTGTCGGGAATTTTCATATAAATTTAATAAACGTAGAACAAAATAATCATGCCGCAGAGTTGAAAAATAAAAAACGTTCCGCGTCAAATAAGTGGGGAGATTGAAGTTAATAATTGAATCGTACCGGCACTTGTATTTGGTACATAAAAGGACTAACTATCAATATGACTTATTTAGTCTTAGTTTCTTTTTTTTCTTTTTTTTTTCCTATGGTAATTGCGAATTTCAGTTTTACAGGGTTAAGGACTCTAGGGATTGTGGTTTTCGGGATTTTAGCCCTTACGGTTTTGATCTTAAAGGATTGTGGTTTTAAGGATTTTGATGTCCAGTATCGGGGCTTTAGAGATTTCATGTTTTAAGGATGTTGGTCATAAGGATGGTAGTTTTAGGGGATTTTGCTTTTAGGGGTTTGGATCTCGAGGGTATCGTGACTATAGAGATTTACATCTCGAGGGATCGTGATTTGAAGGAATATCATACCTCGGAATTGTAGTTTTAGGGAATTTAGCCTTTGTTTTTTGATCCCTGGGAATTATGCGTTTTGGAAATTAAGGCTTTTTAAGAGATTTATTCTAAAAGAAAAATCGTGATTAATGAATTTCCACCTTTTGGTTCTTTGATCCTTGCTTTTTAGAATTTACTCTTTAGGAATTTTGTGCTTGGGGATTTTGGCTTCAGCGATTCTATTACTGGATTGCAGCATTCGTTATTATGATCAGCATCTCTTTAAAAGAACACATAATGCGTCACTTGATATCGTTTCTGAATTCTCGATAATGATGCCTGATGATGACCGGAGAAAGGCTGGCTGAAAATGAGTGGACTTCAAACGAGATGAAAAACTGATGTAAACAACTCTTCTTCGGTGCTGCCTGGTGTGATTTAATGTCGTACCAGAGCGACGTTCTCCTGTAACTGAAGACGAAAAAAGTGGAGGGGGTTTCCGCTTTTAATATTTTATGGGATGATTTATGAGGTGCCATCAGTTGGCAAAAGGAAGTATAAGGAGACTGTTTTGCAAAAAAAAAAAAAAGTGTACAATGAAGTTTCTGCTCTACGTTAGTATTATAAACTTGATTCTAGCCTGTGATCAGTTTGGATAACGCTTGCCAACACTGCGAAACCTGTTCCTTTGAGAAACAATAAAATGACACATTTCATGCTCAGCATCTGTCGCACAACGATAAAAAGGAATACTTCCTTCACAATGTCTACGTGTGAAGTTGACGTCTGTAGCCGGCTCAGAACGATTACAGTAATTCCATCTGATCTGCAGAGAATGTGCTTAAAGAGTCTCAATGGAGACTTGAAACTGCGGAGTACTAAACTGTTTATATGAATCCTGCACAAAATATAACCACGTATAGTACTAAAATTTTCATTTAGGTACCTCAGCTTTAAAATTCTTAAAAAAAAAAAAAACTTTCTTGGAGCTTTAATTTTAGTTTTAATTTCAAGTTAATACATTAAATTTAATATCCCCAAGAAGCAAAATACTTTAGTATATTCAAACCGAATTGAAATTGATTGGATTTTTTTCTTTTTAATTATCAGTAAAACCAATAAATTTTGTTCATATTGACAAATGTCACAACATAATTTTCTTTATTAAAAAATATCTCCCCAAAATAAAAAAAATACTTTTCTGAAACTTTGAGAAAAAAATTAACTGATTTAAAATTGATTCATCTAAATTGAAACGAATATTACTTTAAAATATCGCAACAGTCAGCTGTTTATGTGTTGTTGACAAATCTATCGATAACCTGATATTTGTGTAATTCAAGGATACATAACTGTAAAAATTACTTGAAAAATACAATATGAACGCCTTCTCTTTATTCCCCTCATATATATATAAACTACCCAGTAATCTTTAAAATTTAAGAAAATATTTTAAGTAATCTATTATTTTATTGAATCGTCGCAGGTAAGGCTTTACCGATTAAGGCGCTTGTTAAGAAAATATTAGAAAATTATCAATAAATTTTAACTTTATTATACTTAACTTTTTTTTTATGCTATCCTGTATGGCGGGGGGGGGCACTTATTTAGAAAAATCCCCCCCACACGCACAATTCGAAATTCTTTTACAGCTGCTGTTGAATTGTATGAATTTTTCCATTTATGATTAGTAAATACAGTTTTCATTTAATAACATTATCACTTGGTAGCTGCAAATTAATACATAATTTTAAAAGATTTAATTTATAAATTAAAAAATGAAAACATTTCTTATAAAAAATCATTATTTATAGAAAGAAATCTTTTTTTAGGACAATAGTTTCCATAATATATTTTATTCATAAAAGCAATTAAAAACTTTTTTAATTAATGTCCTCGTTTTAATGCATTTTTAAATTACCATTATTATATAGATTCTCTGTAACTGAGGGGTCCTGTTTGACGAAAAAATACTTCATGATTTAAATTCTCCGAGGACTTGTCCTTACAACTAATATAAACATTAAGCACTACAAAAAAGAATTCCTCGAAATTTCATAACATTAAATGAGTGGGTGGGGGGCAAAACAAACACACACACACACACACACACACACACATGTATAATATAATATATTTACCAAGAGTTTTTTCAAAATTCAAAAATAATTTAATTCATTTCTGCATAAGTAATTTATAATAGTTTATGTAAAATAAGCAATAACAAATTACTTAGAAATTAATTAAATTATTCAGGGCAGATTTTCTGTAACCGTGTCTTGATCAAATTCAAACTATTCTCTTTGAGAGTTCACATACTTATTCCATCGTTCCTTTCACTTTTCAAAACCGTCCAGAAAATCAGCTTTTAAGATGTCCATCAGCGCCTGTTATTTTTTTCACTTTCTACTGCCCTCTTTCCATTGTTAGCCTTATCCCTATCATCGCTTTTTTTCAATCGATCTTTCTGTGTTTCTCAGTTTGTTTTGAGCGGTATCAGCAACTACAAAAGATCGCAGTGTCTCATTTTTAGAGACGGGATCTCCTTGCCGTTGACAGTGACGTTCCTCTGCCAGGCAAATATAGGATGTGAACCGAAACATCGGCCTATCGTTGTACGCACCACCATTCTTTTTTTACTACTTTCCTGTTTTTAAGGTGGGCTTTATTTCCCGAAAAAAAAAATTAGAGGCTGTCGAACTGGCATTTAGGACAGGTAATAACATTAAGGAGATACAATGGAAATGAAATAAGATGTCGCATAACGATTGACTGGAAAGTATTTGGGGACACATTTCCCTTAATATATGTGATTGTATAAACATGTACAAATAAACTGACAGCCTGAGTAAAATATATTCTTTGTTCTTTTATTGATCTCTCGGTAGAATGAGTAGCAGAAAAAACACGACTGCCTGCCGGATCGTCAGGTCCTAAAATGGTGCATCAGCCGGAATACATTCTAAGAAGACCAGTCGGTGAAGTAGGTGGACACTTTCATTCCGTTTCTTATCCTCTGGCACACAGACACGCCGCCTCCTCACACACTCCCTCACACTTTCTCTCTCTCAAACTCTCTTTCTCAAATTCATTCTCTTTCTCTTTCTCAAATTCATTCTCTTTCTCTTTCTCAAACTCACTTTCACTTTCTCTCTTTCTCAAACTCACTTTCACTTTCTCTCTTTCTCAAACTCACTTTTTACGATCTTTCTCAAACTCACTTTCACTTTCTCTCTTTCTCAAACTCACTTTCACTTTCTCTCTTTCTCAAACTCACTTTCACTTTCTCTCTTTCTCAAACTCACTTTCACTTTCTCTCTTTCTCAAACTCACTTTCACTTTCTCTCTCTCTCAAACTCACTTTCTCTCTCTCTCTCTCTCTCAAACTCACTTTCTCTCTCTCTCTCTCTCTCAAACTCACTTTCTCTCTCTCTCAAACTCACTTTCTCTCTCTCTCTCTCTCAAACTCACTGTCTCTCTCTCAAACTCACTTTTCTCTCTCTCAAAAAACTCACTTTCTCTCTCTCTCTCTCTCTCTCAAACTCACTTTCTCTCTCTCTCTCTCTCTCTCTCTCAAACTCACTTTTTCTCTCTCTGCCTCTCTCAAACTTACTGTCTTACATTCTCTCGAGCTATGGGTTAATTAGTAAGACTTGTATCACTAAATAATTATTATCTCCCAAAACATTCTTATCTACAAATATTTTCTGGCATTAAATAAGCCGCAAAGTGTTGATAAGCCGTAGAAAATGAATGAATCAATGAAAACGGAGCCTCACCAAAAATCAAAAAAAGCACAATTTATGATCGTCAGTAAGAACAGCCGAAAGTGTGAGGCATCGGAATTGAGCAGATACAGAAATTTAATTTCCTTGGGTAGGACGATATCAAACGACAGAAAATGTAACAGAAATCCTAAAGAGCATTGGAATAACGACCAATGCCTTTCAGAAATTTAAAGTATTAATTTTTTTAATCGGTATCATCTCATGAAATGCAGTAAAACCACTATGTCACAAGGGGTTACATGGTGTGGAGGAATTAGGAACAGAAACAATGAGTGAAAAGAGAAAAGAGCAATCAGGAGGATAGTAGATTGTGATTGACTTTGCGTTAAATTTTTGCCGACTAAAGCTGGCTGGAAAGTATGCAGCCGGAAGGAAGTTTTTGTTTTGAGAAGTGCGAGTGAAGAAACTGTTAGCATAGAATTTACGGTTACATCCAGCCAGCTCAACTGTCATTTGATGAGATGCCAGTCTAGTAATGCGCTTAAATTCATAAAGTCTAGGTACCATAGCGAAGAGCTCATCTGAACAATTGCCATGAAAGTATTTATAGAAAAGATACAGAGGCAACCTTACGGCGGCGGGTAAGCGACTAAAACCGAGCTGCCAGATCAGGACCAATAATATTGCTGATTCATCTTTTGATGCTGTCAGGGAGCTCAAGGTAAATAGCAGGAACGCTGGGCCATATTTGGCAGCGATATTCTAAGCATGGGCGAATGCTAGACTTATAGAATTGTAAGATAGTTTCTAGATAGAAAAATTGTCTCGTACGACACAGTGAACCGACTTTCTTAGCAGCTGACCAAGCAATAGATTCAAAATGGGTAGAAAGATGTTGTTAACAACAAAGAAAAGTGTTGAAATGCCGGGAAAAAGACATTGAAGACTAAACAATGATGCTCTGAATTTGTATCAATAAAAGATTTTGCCAAATGTATTATGGAGACTTTTGCATGAACATAAAAATAATGTTTTACAAACTTTAAAGAGGGACAGTAATTTTAAAAATAATTCTTTTCCTTGTTTGTTTCCAATTTAGAGTAATTGTCCTTTTTGCAAATTCAAACCATCCGACTGAGTATAACAAAATTTGAATCTTTTAATGGGACGGACAATGATGTCTGGCAGTGAATAGCAAATCCGATGTTTTTCAGTTTTAAAAAAAATGATAAGTGAACAAAAATTATTTTTTATTTAAAAAAAAAAAAAAAAAAAAATTCAGCATATTCGCGCCTCAAAACACTAACCTTCTCCACCCTGGCAGAAAATAGAAAGGTTTATCTGATATCTCTTGCTACCAAAATAGCTGTTCTCATCCAGACAATATTCAAGTTTCATTTGCAGAAAATTAAGCATTCGGCCGTTGATTGACATTTATTAAATCTTTTTCATAAAACAGAATTTCAGGAAATTATATTTCTCAAGTCCACTGTCATAAATCTTTCTAATATTGAATAAATAAATCTTTCTAATAATGCTTGCCGTAAATTAATTTCTGATGCATTCCAATAATAGTCATTTCCAACAGATTTTTATAGCCAAACTCTTTTCCGATCGGTTTTCAAAGGCAAGCACCTTTCCGATAGTTTTACAATACATTCCTGTGACAATTCTGCGATTAACCGTCTCCTTATAAGGAAACATTTACCATTCATTGAATGAACAGTTAGCCTTACTGACGATTGAAATTTATAAAATGTTTTTTGAAAATATTTTCCCAGGAAAATAGGTTTCTCATGTTTCAATGTTATAGTCTTTTCCAGTATTGATATGTGTTTCCTTCCAAACTTTTTGTTTAGGGTTGTGTGGAAAGTCAACATCTTCATTATATAATTTCTTTCTTCTAATTACATGTAGCATTTTAATTGTTGATAGTTTAGGCGTTTCTGAACGAGTTGGACACCATGACATCCACATATGAGAGTTTGAATCTAATGAGGCCGTTTCAGATCATGACTTTAGTTATCAGGTCAATATTTGTTTTTATAGCATCTTACAGTGTTAAAAGTGCTCTTAGCGAAACCTTAAAAGTCTCCTTAGCGAAACCTTAAATGTGCCATTAGCGAAACCTACACTGTGCTCAATTTCTTTATTTCCTATAATGATAGTATCAAAACTTGATAAATTATTTTTGAATCTTCGCTCGGTAGCCAGAATTTGCTCCTCACCAAACAAAAAACAACACCTCTCACGGAAATGATTAAAAACCACGCCCTAATTGCCTTAGTGCTTTACTAGTACCAATAATTTCAAGACCTTCAATCCGAAATAAATAAAGGCTTCATTTAAAACAATTACTTTTCTAAAGGTGGATTTTTATCAGAAGTGAATTTGATGAATATACAGCATGGACTTTTAATGCATTTGGTTATCTTGGTCTGGCACAAGGTCACAATATTGAGGTGTCGTCTCTGAGCGAACAGCACAGAGGTTAATTGACCTGCGAATCGAGCTGATAACCATTACGACATGGGAGCACCCACCCCAACACTTAAAAAAAAGATACATTTTAGCTTGTTCTGAAAGTTACAGAGAATTTTTGAACGTGGAATAAAACCACGTTAAATTTGCCAATCACGATGATTGGCGAGAACAAAATATCTACTTTGAAAGTGATTGTTTTATTCCATTGCTGACAGCTTGTATATATTGAACCCCAAAATTTCAGGACCACAAAACTTTGCTCTTTACAGGAGAGACTGATGATATTGCGTCCTGCTAGGAAAGTCACGCAACTATTTTCCCAAATTTTGGACAAAAAAAAAAAAACGATTGCTTAAAATGAAGACATAATTCGCTTTTAGTTTCATGAGCATTTGGCTATTCAGAATGTTAAAAAAAGAAAGAAAAAGAAATTAAGCGTATTTATCAAGCACATAGCCACCCTGATAAGTAATGACAAAAGTCCATGATGGTTTTTAATCGTTTCGCCCCAAGCAAGGCGATAAAGCCACTGAGGTGCAGGGGATTAAAGGATGTGAAAGTGAAGACTGATAATGAGGAGGATTGAAGAAAGGACAAAAGATGAACGGGGTTCAGGAAGACAGAAGATGGCGATTGACGTTAAATTTAAACTTTTTATACGTTGTAGTTATCATGGAAACAGGGAAATCAAAATGGAAGTTCCACAGGCAGAATTGCTCTAAATAACAAAAGAACTAAATGTTGATTTAATTGCACAGCTGGGAATTCGTTTTGCGTCGAGGCACCAGAGGAAAAAATCTCACTATGACAATTGTCATGAAAATATTTATATTTTTTGATAGAAACAAAAGACGTCACCTTCGGTGAGAAAGTGACTGAAGTCAAGATGCCAGGTCAGGATCGATTACATTACAGAATATTCTTTCGATTTTATCAATACAGAACCTTAATTTTTTTTATAGCATGTTGAATCAATCTGGATTTCTGGATTTTTCTTTTTTTATTAGATTGATTTTAGATAGTGACAGGAAATTTATTGTTTCTGTTCGTCACAAGAACTTTAAACATGACCAATAAAAAAATGTAGATAAATTTATATTATTTCGTAAAGGTCGGATTTTCATGTAAAATGGTATTGAAAAGAAAGATTGCTCTTAACTATATAAAGATTAAGATTTATTGATAAAAGAATTCACACAATGTTTGAAATTTCCCTTTATACTGACAAATATATTTTATCATAACAATGTTTTCTCAATCAGAATCAATATTGTATATTTAAAAATCTTACCACTTATCTGCCACGTAAAAACTTGGTGCTTATACAAATAGCCAGGAATAAAAAAATTCAAAAAGGAAGAAATCTCATTGTTATCAATCTTGATTCCTGCATCAGATTCAAGGACATTTTCCCCATTCATGATATACGTATTTTTATGTGCCTTTTGTTGTGGTCAGAAATCGTTCCATTGAATTTTTTTGATGAGATTTTAATTTGATTCTCGATTTAACGTAATACTAGATTGATATAAAATTCAACATCATTTATCTAAAAATTTTACTTTTGTAACCATATGTTCCAATTCTTATAGTTCCTATTTTTTATTAAGGTTAAAAATGTAGTTCCTCTAATCCGGAATGGTTTTAATTTTTGTCAATAAAATTTTATTGTATTGATTATTAATATCTGGTGAATATTTTTTATTTATTTATTGATTCTGTTCATCTTAAGACACAATAAAATCCATTTAAATCTAATAAATGTTGGAAAAATTTTTTAAGAATTTAGCCATTAAACCACGATGAAAGTTCAATAAAATTCATATTACTTCTTTTTGAAAGATTCTAGAGGAAGATCATTCTAATAAATGACTGATTTTTTTCAGTGAATTAAGTTTAAGCGTCTAATGATTTTTTTTTTTTTCTTTCAGATTTAACAACTTAAGTCTTTGGCAATTTCAACCATGGAAAGATTAACAATCAAACAACGTGTTAAAGTTATCGAAAGACTATTACGAAAATGGACGTTCAAACAGAAATGCATTTCGCTAAACTTTTTTTTTTCAACATTTTCGGTCAACATAATCGACCAACCGAGAATGCAATTGGAAAAATTGTTCGTAAATTTAAACAAACTGGGTCGGTGGCAGATGAAAACACCATTGCGTGCTTGTTTACGCCGTTCAGCTGAAAACATTGCTGCAGTGCACGAGAATATGGCCGAAAATCCAGACCCCCTCTATTTGTCATCGCACGCAAGAATTGAACCTCTCCACAGCAACGTTACATCGAATTTTGACAAAAGATTTCTTTCTACACGCTTACAAAATTCAATTGATAAAATCAAAAACTGAAACCTGCTGACCATTTTAAGCGCCACGTTTCATTCGTCAATTGGGATTTTTTCAAAATCCTTCTACAAGCCGATTCA